TATGTTTTCAGTGTCTTTGTTTGAAATTGAAAAATCAACTAGGAACGAGTCTGAGGGAATTTGAACTTGAAATTTATTTCATTTGAAAGCTCTATATTTTGGCTTCATTTTAAAATTGGTTTGGTTAATTGTGGACATGGAAAGTGTCCTGTGGAAATTTTACAAAATAATAAGTTCCAAGGAGCTTTTACAAAGGATTCCCAAACCCTGTTGCAATTTTGAGTTGGCATATCTCCCTCTCTATGCGTCCAAATTGATTTATTCTAGCCTCATTTTTCTTATTATTTTCTTATATTTGTTTATTGTGTTTATCATTTTCTTTAATTTTTCCATTTTCCTATTTGAAAGTTTGCTGGAAGCTCTAAAGGTCTTCTAGACAAAATCTTGTTTCTCCAGAATCGTGGACCAACTTGTGAAAAATTCTAGGAATGATTGGGAAGGAATTTTGATCTGAAATTTTTATATAATTTTATTGTATATCTCTTGTGTCTCTCATAAAATTTTCACAGGAATTTCTTATGTGGATTGACTACTAGAAAATCCAAAAGTTCACTATCTTTAGAGAGCCTACTGTGTGAATTTCAGAATTGCCAAAGCTTCTTGATTGAGCATTTCTAACTCTCTTTCTACTTGTTTGGTGTTTTTTTTTATTGTGTTTTTCATTTTGTTGCTGTTGAGTTTATAAGAAAAAGAAAAAAAAAATTTCTCTTGCTTTTGTGTGTTTTGAATTGTTTCTTCTTGATTTGCATTTTAGTTTAGCTTGTTTTTTGTTCTTAATTTTCTTGGGCTTGATTAATGCATGACCCAAAGAAAACATACCTCTTTTGTTGAATTAGATCTAAAAATTGAAAGAACTATTTCTAGATTGAGAAGATCACAACCTATTCTTGATTCTCATTTGGTTTGTAATTTAATAATGGAAGGTATCTTAGGGCATGAGCATGTGCATAATGAGGGCCATGGGAATGGGAGTGAGAATTTGCATGATGATGGCCATGTTAATAATGAATTTGAAGGCTTGCATAATCCTAAAGAGGAGAGGGGCATTAGGCAATTAACTTAACCTAATTGACATGACAATCCTTATGGCTTGTATGTTCCTCCTACTAATGTTCAATTGGAAATTAAACCCTCTTTAATTAATACATTGCCTAAATTTCATGGTTACCAAGAGAGGATTGCCATAGGTTTTTGCATATTCTCTACTTGGTTTGTGATACTATGAAGCCTATGCATGTAAATGTTGATGATGTTCAAGCTAAGGCTTTTGTATTTTCTCTTGAAGGTTTAGCAAAGGAGTGGTATTTTCAACTACCCTTCTTATATAAAATTGAGCATACGGGCTGAGATAAGAAGACTCTTCTTGGATAAATTCTTTCCAAATTCTAAGGTCACCAATTTGAGGAAGCAAATCTATGGGTCCAACAAGAACAGGATGAGAGTCTCTATGAGTATTAGACTAGATTCCAATGTTTTTTGGCTAAAAGCCCATACCATCAAATTTCTAGTGAGAATTTAGTCCAATATTTCTATGAGGGCTTGATTCCAAGAGACAAAGTTAACATTGATGCTGCTAGTGATGGATGCTTGATTGACCTCACTTCCTTAAAGGCTTGGAAACTAATTAACAAGATAGCCTCAAGTGGTGCTAAATACTCTATAAGAGAGAAGAGGAATGTGAATATGGTGGGTTCCTCAATGCTTAATGATTCACATGTGGACTTGCTAGCCACCAAGATTGAGAGAATATTGGCTCCACAAATATCTCAAGTGAGCAATGTAAGTACTTCTCAAGCACTTGTCCTTTATTTTTGTACTTTTTGTGACTCACCCATGCATGTAGAAAGCAATTGTCCTATTAAGTTTGAGCAAATGAATGCTATCTACAATGGAAAGCAATCCTATGGTGGGAGGCAAGGGCAAGGAGTTTATTCTAATACTTACAACCCTTCATGGAGAAACCATCCTAATTTTTCCTATTCAAATCCAAATGTGGCTTTGCAAGATAACCAACCAAGAGGATATCAAAACCTTCAAGGCTGAGAGCTTCCACACCTTTTGATCTAAAGTAGCTCTTCCCACAAATACAATCCCAATGGTAATTCTCTTGTACCTTCTTCTAATTCTTAAGGTGAAAGGAGACTTATTCTAATTGGGAGTTCTTCTAACTCCAATTCTTCTAATGATGTGAATGTGTTATGCAAGCAATTAATTGAAATGAATACCTTGTATAAAAACATGTATGATGGCTTAAGGAACAAGGTAGAGAGTATGAGTAACAAGTGTGAGAACATGAACTCTAAAATTGATACCCTTACTTCTCAAATGAATATGATTGTTAACCAATTAAGTGCAGCCAATGCTCAAGCTCCTACATTACCATCCAACACCGTTGCTAATCTTAAAGCTAATCACAATGCTATCACATTAAGGAGTGGTAAGGAGTTGGGAGAAAGAGTACAAGAACCCCAAAAAGAAGGGAAGGCCGACACTTCCTCTTTGAATTCTTCTCTTGATATTAATGTTTCTAGTTCTTCTTTTTCTCCTAATGATGCATCTTTTTGTAGGGATGATGATGATGAGAACATTGAGGAGATCATATATGAGCAACCACCATTCAAGGTGGAAAAGAGGACTATGGCCGAATTGCTTAGCAAGGAAAAAGAGGAAGAGTCCGAGCAAACTGAAACAAGAAAGGAAAGTTCAAGGAAGGAAGAAGCAAAACAAAATCAAGAACTCATGAAGAGACTTCCTTTTCCACAAGCACAAATTGTTCCTAAGAAAATTAAAGGGGAAATTGATTAAGAGGTATATGATTTCTTTCATAAAATTCATGTGAATATACCCTCAATGGATGTTGTGAAAAGCTTTCCTAAATGTCACACCCCAATACTAAGAGTGTGATCGGCATGAAATATGAGATGAACTCATATCCCATAAGCCTTGATTGATCAGGAACTAAGCTAAAATATTGATATATGTAAGTTAAATATAGTAATAAAGTTTGTAAAATTTTAAATGTTTTGTAAAAATTTTAACAAAGCCTCCCTTATAATTTGAACCTCCCAAAATTTTCACGACAACCATAGAACCTGTCAACCAACCTAGCAAGGAGACTAGCTCCATTCCAACAATTTACATAATAGCTAAATAAGACTGAAACCTTACTATGGTGTACGTGGAGCACTAAGTTATGATTGCAAAATACAACACATAGTTTTACCAAACTAATAATTGCAATGTGCCTCCTTTTTTCCAAAAAGCAAAAGGCCTCTCAATGATCTGCCGAAGGTGTATAGTTAGCTACACTATCTGAGACCAAAGAAATTATCGGTGAGTAGTGTTCCAATTATATACATGCATATAAATATATGAAAACATTAGCGAATAAATTTAATTTAAAAATTTTGAAATAATGAAACATGAACTTAAACTAATAATAATAGACAACAAGTTTTCTCAATGATACAATTATGAATTTGAACAACATTAATATGACAAAGTAATTTATCAAAATTGGTAATGTTCATGGCATATAAAAATTTCAAGAAATGGTAGGTAGAATGCTTTTAAAGAAATAATATAAAAATAATGAATTTTAAGTTTAGCTTTAGGAGGGCTTTATTAGAACGAATAGCAAGCATGGACACACAGTCCACGAGGGTAAGTAACTAATCAAGCGCGACTGAAAGCTACGAAACAAGCGCGGGAGGAGCCACGAATCAAGCGCAAGCATGAAGCCCACGAAAACAAATGTGAGTATGATGCTCACGAATAACCGTCCCTCCATTCCACATGCGTTGGCCAGCGCACAGGACTAGCACCTCTAATAAGCACCCTACTAGCTAGGTGTACTATAGCATGCCAAGGGCTAACGGAACTGCCATTAGCATCCAGAGTTCTGAACTCAATCCCCTTCATTAAAATCAAGTGTGCATGGTGAAAGAAGAATAGTTTCAAAATTCGTACTTCCAAATACTATTCAACTATCTTTTTTCATTGCCAAAGATTGTCATCATTTCCTTCATACACAAATCATTGCAATAAAAAATTTATATCAACGTGGTATTAAATAATTAAACTGCTTATGAGAAATAATACTATTAATCTGAAAATAGGATTAACAAAAATATGTAAACACTTTACAAAGCAATAATAATAATATTTAAATAAAGAAAATTTTTATAAACAGTTTATTAAAAATATATTCAGAACGCCACCCACTCACCTGAAAAATCCCAAGAATTATAAAGTTTGACCTTCTCAATTTCTCGCTTACTTCAACAGTGCCCCAAATAATCTAGCACACAAACCAACTATCTTAATATCACTATAATTTTCCTTCTTGTAATAAGCAAGGAAAATTTATTTTCAAGCTCTTCGATAATCCTTTAAATTATCAATCAAATACCACTTTTAAAAAAAATCCTCTAATTCTTTCTTCAACCTTCTTGATAGAAAATAATTGTTTCCTATAATAATTCAATCAACAACCATCCACTCTCAAAAATTTAAATAATTACATATTAATTTCATAATCAAATTTTCTTTTCAACCTTTAAAATATGTTTATAGATCAATAACACCCATACAAAATATACTTCTCACAATAACTAATAAAATTTCAGCAAAATATCAAAATTAAGAAAAGTTTTTCTAGCAAGCATTTCATCAAATAGCTTGTGGGCATTGATTTATAAACTAACACCAATATCTTCCACATCAATTTCACTTCCTAAAAATTTATCAACATCAAACAAATCAGATCAAGTTCAACCAAAACTCAAATCCATACCATCATCATCTTGTTCTTTATACAAAAACTCCAGCCTGAATCAGTTTTCCTTTTCACGTTCAAGCATATATGACAGCACAAAGCAATAGAAATTTCACAGCAACAACCATTACAGCATGCACAAGAGAAGAGTTTGCAACCTTATTCACTTAATTACCCACACACGCTTAACAAAATCACAAAGAATAATGGTTTGAAGGCTCACTTTTACAACTGCTATGACAAGGCAGAGAAGGAGAAGAACAGAATTGCCGGCCAGCCAAGGAAAAATTGAGCTCATCACACATACATATAAGACGTGCAGCAGCTGAAAAAGAAAGGAAATTGAAGAGCACTCACACACACATGCTGACTCGGACCAGTGATGAAGCAGAGGCCAACGATAGAGAAAGAAAAATATAGCTAGTTACCAATTATAATGGATGAATGAAGATGGAGAAGAGCGTAGTAGTGAGGACAACACAGACCGATGGTGAGGAACGAGGAAACATGACCGAGAAGGAGGAGGAGGAAGAGTTTGACAGTGAAGAAGGAAGAAGAGCACAATGTCGGTGGAGAAGTAAGAAGTGATAATGCTCTGTTTTCTTTCCTCACACGACTGATATAAAAATCTAATCAAAGAAGTGTTGGAAAAATTACAAAATAAAGCAGCAAGAAAATTACTAGGGAGGGCACAGGGGGAAATTACAAAAATAGACAAAAACGTTTTTCCATAATTTGAAACCAAATAAAGTCAAACTTTTGCTAGGTAAAATTTAAACTCTTAATTTTCAAAAAATATTTTCTAGTATAAGTTCTTCTAAACTCCCACTTTCTACTTGCTATAAAAATTATTTTTAAATAAAATATTCATTAAGAGAAAAATTTTGTCCAATTTAAAATTTAGGGTTATTACACTAAATATGCCAAATTTTTAAAGGATTGTTGTATGTTAGGGGAAGTTTAGGCCTAATGCTAGGGTTCAATTACCCTCTTCTGTGAGTGCTATAATGAAGCCTCAACTCCCTATTAAGTGTGAGCGCCCCAATTCTTTCACAATTCCATGCAAAATTGGTAATACAAATTTTTCAAATGCATTGATTGATTTAGGGGCTACTATAAATGTGATGCCATTGTCTATTTACCATGCCTTTGATTTGAATTTCATGCATAAAACACCAATGATATGCCAATTAGTAGATAGGAGCGTTAAGAGACTACATGGAATAGTAGAAGACTTGTTGGTTTGTGTTAAAGGTCTATTATTTCTTGTGGATTTCTATATGCTTGATATGTCCAAGAAAGGGAGTAGGGATGACATTTTGATTCTAGGAAGGCCATTTATGAGGACTACCCATACATTGATAGATATGGAAAAGGGTAGTTTGATTTTGAAATGTAAAGAGGATCATGTTACCTTCAAGATATATGAGGCAATGAAAAGACCCTTTGAGGATTATTCTTTACTTGGTCTTAATGCTATTGACATTTTGGTTGAAGAAGCTATTGAGCAATATGCACACACCTCACTTCCTCATGATGATTATTCTTCATTGACTCTATATGTTTCATGCTTTTGTGTTGAAAAATATGTTTGCAAAGATTGTTTAGAAATTGATGACTTTTTGCAAGATGTAGATTCTTTCTCTCATATGTTACTTGATGATAATGAAATAGATTCTTTTCTTGATCTTATGGGCCAAGAGGAGGGTTCTGTTTCTTGTGATGTAGTTGCAAGCATAGATGAAGTTGGCATAAGAGAATCTACTCTACTCGAGCTTGATGACCAAAAAGTTCCCAAGCTATTGGAGAAAGATTCTACACAAGTAGCACCATTGGCTATGAGGCACGTGGAAGTAATTGAAAAAGATATGAGGAAAATAAAAGAAATTATGTCACTTTAAGTGAAACGAAAAGAACTTGTCCCTAACATTCCTAAAGAAGTTATCTCTTGTGATCTTGCACCTGATATAGAAATATCATTACCATGTGAGGCAAAGCATTCGGATATTAAAGGAGTTGATAATCAAAGGACACAGAAGAAAGACATTTTCAAGATTAGAGACTCCAACTTCATTTTTTAGCCACCATGATGAGGTTGTATCTCTCTAACCTTAAGCTTTTACCTTGTATTGATTGATATATTTAATGATTGGTATAGTTCAAGTATGGGGGAGATGAACCTAGTAGATAGTAGATTTGTTTTCTTTGGTTTGTTTGTTTTCCTTTTGTTTGTTTATGTGTTAAAAAAAATTCTACACCACACTTTTATTATGCATTCATTATTGATCTTACCTTGTTTTATCACTAGTCTATACATACATTGAGGACAATGCATGATTTAAGTATAGGGGAGAGAAAAAAATATTTTGTTTTGTTTTGTTTTGGTTTTTGCAAAATTTTTTGAAAAAATTAAAAAAAAATTGTGCTTTATTTTGTTTTGTTTGAGGTTACTTAATTACCAAGCTCTTGAATGGATATTTTGATGCTTGAGATGTGGTAATTTTTAGGATTGAATAGGTGTGAAGTGAACATTCTTTTACCTTGAATTAATGGATTAGAGTGGTACATTACCCTTTTATGGAAGAGGCCAAGCACTCATGTGTGATTAATTCCTTAGTGATGTACCCTCTAAAATTTGTTCCACTTTTAATTGAGACCACATATCTTGCACTTGTTTGATTGAAGATGAAAGATGGAATTCATAAAAAAATAGCCAACCCATTATTATTGATTATCCTTTATTAGCCACTTTGAGCTTTTAGTTTGATTCTTAAAAATAAATATTCACCCTATTTTTCCCAAGGAATGCATGTTACACTTTTATATATCTTTTTAATATTCATTGTATGTCCTAGATCAAGTGAGTGGATGCCTATTATAATTTTTCTATCCATTACTCTTTATCCTTTGTTATTACTCCATTATATCCATTCTTTTATGTTGTTTTCAAAGAGTTAAGGGCAACCAAAAGAAAAATACAAAGCAAAGAAAAATTTGAAAAAAAATATACATTCAAAAAGAAAAGCAATAAAGTTGCTAGAAAAAGAAACAAAAAGAAAAAAAAAGAAGGAGAAAAAAAAGAAAGAAAAGAATAAAAAGTTGCCTAGCTCATCCATTTTATTTGTTTCATTATTTTTTATCATTTTTTTTCATCCTCATTGTGTTAAGGTATCTATTCAATTGAATTAGGTTATGCTTTGCATATTAAAAGGATATATCTTGACTTTAGCAGTATCTTGATGCTAAACCTATATTTTTTCATACATGCATTTTTTAGACATTCTTTCATTACCCATATTACAACTTAATAAAGTCCACTTGATTCTTAATTGCAAGTGCTATTTAGTGGTGGAGATGTAGAAAGGTTACAAACTTATGGTAGGGTTTATCCTAAGGAATTTTGAGTGAAATTAAATACTTTGTACACTTTGAGTGATGAGAGCAAACACTTAACCTAGAGAGGCTTACTCTTTCACATTGATTCTTGGTAAGGGTTTGTTTGTGATATGCACAATTCTTTCTTAATTATTATTACATTGATTGATAACTTGTAGAAGTTCTTGAGCTAGTATTTTAGTGACTTTGAACATTTTTTTCTTTTGTTTCTTTGTCTTAGAGTTTCTTTTTGAACCTTTTTCACTTGATTTTGCCCAGAGTGCAAAAGATAAGTGTGGGAGAATTTTGATAGGAATTAGTCACTTACCTTCAAAATTAAACTAAAGCTAACCCTAATGCAATATAAGGCTAACCCTAGGTCATCTCCTAAGAAATGATTTTAGTCTAATTAAAAGTTATCTAGTGAAATAAGTCACCCCAAGTTGTAGGAATTTAGTTACCTAATTATCTATACTAATTACCTAATGTGCAAGTAATTAAAATAGTAATTAAAGTGAGTAAAATGAACTTTCCTTTTCATAAGAGTGGAACCCTAGAGATTATTTGATTTTGGACTCATTATCTTCTCATGATTAGGCTAAGTTTAGCTTGCCTTTCCTCTTGACTAAAGCTGTCATGACTTAAGAAAATTATCCTAAGCCAATTAACCTAATTAGCTAACTTCCCTAAATCTTAGATTATAGTCCCTAGTTCAATTAACCAATTGGTGTAAAAATTAGCTAAGTGATTCATTAAAAATCTCCTCTAAACAGCCATGGTCAAAACAACAATGTGAGTAACCATAAGATTCTGTCAAGCTACTCAACAATACCAGCATTAACACCACAAGATTATGCAATATCAAGATATGTAATTCACTAAATGAAAAACACAAGATTATGTGCTCAACATAAAGTGGCCGAATTAGTCATGGAAACCCAAAGAAGAAATTAAATGAAACAATCATCTTCTCTTTACATCAACATCAAATTCAAATTAGAATTTACAAACCAAGATGATCAAACCCTAGATTAAGAAATCTAATTATCTAGTAAAAAGAGAAGAGGATAGAAAACAAAAGAACTTAGCCATATTGAAGCTCAAGACTCATCCTCCATCTTCATCTCTCTAGGAATCCACTAAGAAACTTAGCCAGTCTTCATCATCTTCAAGAACCCTAGGTTGGAAGCTTGTTGACTGAAATTCATAGAACTTGAGATGAAGAAAATGAGCTTAGAACCTTGTGAAATAGGAAGGGATGGAACAAAAATGAAGAGAGGAGAAGAATGGTGTGAGTTTTGTGGAAGTTTGGTATCTGAAAATGGAGGTTAGAGTGCTGGAAAATGAAGAACAAAAGAGAAAAAATGAAGAACACTATGAATAAGAGAGAGAAAATGTGGAAGATGAATGAGATGAGTGTTGGATCTCAATTGGGGAGCTGAATGGCATGCTCTAAGTGTTTTCCCATCATCTGAAGCTCAATCAATAAATAAGAAAAGAAAATAAATGGAAAATGGGAGCCTTATCACACTTGCAAGGTGGCACCCTCCTATTGGCTTATAGATGATTCCAATGTGTATACAATTAATCCCATGTGTCAACCACAATTTCAGCTGATCTAAACCACCAAATAGGAGCCCTTACACGTCCAAACCATCAGCCTTTAACCCCATGGACTTTTGACTCCATTTGCCCAATTGATGCACAAGTCACATGCCACCTATGTCACATAAATCACATAATTCAATTAAATAACATGTGACATTATAAAATCTAATTAAAGTCCAAAATTGAATTCATAATTAGAAGGTAGAATTAATAAAATAACCAAGTTTCAGACTGCACAAAATTATATGAAAATTTTTATACAAAGATAATCCGAAAATTAGGCAAATTAAGACACTTAAAAAAGTGTTGACTTTTTATTTAATTACTCCAAAACTAAAATTAATTTTAAAAATCTAATTTCACCACTCATCAACTGGACATAAAATGAATTTTTTTAATTTTTCTTGTACATTTTCCCAAAATATCATTTTTTGGACCAAAATGCCCCTAGTACACTAAACCTAGAAACTTAGGTAAAATTCTAAATCTAATAACATGAGTGCACTTTGAGGTGATAAATCATTAATAAAAGGGTCCTAATTGACAAATAAAAGTGGGCAACAAATGTGTTTCATCAATAGGATGGGCATAATTTTATATGTTAGTATTTTATCAACAAATATCTACTTGAGTTTTAACAACAAACTCATTCTAAATTATCAACAATCTATTCGGGCTTTAACAAGTTAGAAAAATAGATAAGATGGGCTTAATTTTATAAGTGTTAGTTATTCATCAACAAGTATACA